ATAGATAGACAGACAGACAGATAGATAGATAGATAGACAGACAGACAGACAGATAGATACACAGAAAGATAGACAGACAGACAAACAGATAGACAGACAGACAGATAGATAGATAGACAGACAGACAGATACCTGGTTCTCCTCATGTCTTTAAGGAGTCTGTGTCAGAATGTTAGGAGCTTACTTGGTTTAGTTTACATCAGGTTTCTCTGTTGTAAAGTTGCTTTGTTATCAAGTTTCTCTGAATGTGTCAGTTGAGACAAGTGTGAAAGTTGTTTTCGTCCATCGTGGGAGTGATGTAAGGTCCAAACCGACTATTCATCAATTTTCTTTCGCTCATTTGGAGTCAGACACCCCCTTAGTTTTATTTAATAATAACCAGCGTTATTGCAAACCTTGGTAAAATGTAATGAAGTTATCAGGTACAGTTTATACTTTGCACCCGATCAAAGCTTAAAGGAATTATCTATGTACTGCACAGTGCACACAGAATGAAATACTGAGTCTTTATATCAAGGTCCACAACTTTGCCTCGTGCCCTCAAGCACGAAATAGTTTGACTCTTTCTCAGGAAAAAAATTCTGGTAGGGAACTAATACTCTTATTGATTTAAGTATTTGTTGGCTCTAAAGTGGTATGAGAGTCCAAGTGTGTATGTTAATCCTCCCAGGTTCATAAAACTTGCAAATTGACCTCAATGTTACTTCCCAGACCTGTTGCCCAATTTTAAAACACACATTGTCTGCTGTTTGCTTGCAGTTACAGATTACAAACCAAAATAAATACAAAATCAATGGCTTAGCAGTCGTCAGTAATCAGTGCAGTTGATAACAGTTGCGGACACAATGGGGCTGAGTGTTGACGTCTTCTGCTCTTTCCTATTGGATGCAAATGTGACCTTTTCAAATGGCAGGTCAAACCATTATTTTCTGTGCATGTTACTTTATTGAATCAGCCTGAATGAATGAATGGTCCTCATCAAATAAAAGACACAACAGAGGGATGGCAGCAGTTCTGTCCACAGCCCTTTTCCACCAGATACTGTCCTTTCATTCTGTCTGAGTAAAGACGTCAGTATGATCTTGTATCGGGGGACGCGTTGGGCGTGATTAGCTTCACAAAGTAATCTGTCACACTCCCCTGGTCTTTTACAGTCATTTAATACACCTGACATCACGCTGTGTCTGCTCTTTTTACAACAAAAAGAAAGTTCTTGTGTTGGTATCCACAGCGATGAGCCTCAGGATATTAACCACTTCATCACCAGAAAGTATGAATGAGTGTCAGGTGAAGTGCACGCTGGTCCGAGATTATGATTGTTGACCAAAATAGTTGCTAATTAATTTATTCTGATTAAAATATCAATTAATTAGGTGTCATCCAGCCTGGAGCATCTGACCTTACATGAAGTACTGTCAGTTTAACATGTGAGTTAACTGGATATTGCAGTTTTCTCGTACTAAAACAACAAATGACACTAAAGAATTTCATAGTTGCTTTATTGAATTCCCACAACTGCATCACCAGCAGAACTACAGCAACTTTTTGTATTTTCTGTGTTCACTTGCAGTGATGGTGCATTTGACTTTTGACCTTTTGTGGACTGTTAACTGAAAAAAAACATATTCAGATATTGAAATTGACTTAAATCAATGCCTGAACATGGCAGTGACCTCAATATATTACAATTATAATCTAGCGACCTTCAAACTTTCTGTGTTCCACCTCTATTGCTGTAACTCCGTACTCTAAACTCAAAACTCCTTGAAGTGAGAACAGTTTTTCAGAGAAATGTCAGAGTGACTCAAGAACGTGACGTAAAAGGTTTCATTCACTGAACAATGGTTAAATTATTCCTACGGATCCATTTGGGCTCTTCTGAGGAATGTCAGACCCTCACAGACTCAACCACACAGCAACTGAAGGCATTCAGACAAACGGGCAAAACAAAAAAAGTCTGTACACAAGTTTCTTGCATTTAACTTCTAACTTTTATTGGCACAAAAGGTATCAGTCTTTCAAGTGTGATACAGTTGCACCAATGATTGCACACAAAATCTGCAAAACCCAACATAACATAACATTAACACACAAGCAGCAACGTCAAGTTGTACAATATCACTGCAAAATATTATCACAAATAGGAACGTTTGGAACAGCTTGTATCAGTTAGTGTCGGCAGAACAAAAGGATTCGAGTGTGTCTGTGTGATTGTGTGTGTGCATGTGCGAATGCTAAAGAATGCTTTGTTCATGAGATGAGAGTGCAGTATGTGGAAACAATATGTGCTTTATAGTGCATAGTGTCTGCAGATGTATGTGAGTGCAGGTCACTGTGTGTGCCTGCTGATTGTGTTTGCCATGTGAACACTGAAAACATTTTGGTTTTACGATTTGGATCCGTTTCCGACCAAAAATCTAACTGTGACAAAGAGCCACAGCAGAGAAACGGACTTCACCTTTCTCTCTCTCCATGAATCCATGGCACACTTTGGCTGCATCCTGGATTCAGAAGAAGAAGAAACACACACACGGAAATTACATACACAAATATGATTGAATTGATTTTATTATATTTGGGTTTTGCCAAGACTGCAAAGAATTAGCAGCAGAACTATGAATGTATGATCTCAAGAGGTATCTTTTACTTTCACTTCAGTTGTTCCTTTTCCTGTTAATGAGTCCAATGAATCAACATTTGATGCTCCATTAATTTATTATTCATGCACATGGCGCCCTCTTTTGGTAGCTTGATGTTACAACCTAAAAGACTGAAAAGGCTCTAGAAAGAAACTTGGGTCTCAGATACTTTTACACATACGTCCACACTTTTACATACCTCGATGAAGGATTCATCTTTGGTGGCTCCATGCTTCAGCGCTCCGTTCATTCTCCCATCTTAAAAAAATGAGTCAGATATTTTAAAATACAATGAGTGCGTCACAAGTAAAACCACAAACAGGAATACGCATGATGTGCAGATGTGCTTACCAAATTCATAAAGTTGTCCATTTACATTGACAAAGGCGATGAAGTGGAAGTTGACTTTGTCTGCTTCAGGCTGTGAAAGTTGAGATGTGTGAGAATATTATTGAGTAAACTGTGCGAAACAACAAAAGATTCAGAGAAGACAAACACCATCAACACTTCATCTGCTTTAAATACTTAATAAAACAAGTCTATTGAGTTCTATGTCATATTAAAAGAGAGGGGACATGCATGTGGACAGACAGAGGTGAATGTGTATAGAACACACTGCAGACTAGAGTCATATGAGTCGGTCCAACAAATGTTGAGTCCACCTGCTGTTGTTTGAACACACTATAAGATATTAGCCATAAGTAGCTGTTGATGTTATAGCGAAGTATCTTACCCTGCACTGGCCCTGCACTGCAACCTCATTGTGAGCCTCAGAGATCGCCTGGGGGAAAAAACATTCAGGATGCCTCAGTTAATTCTGCTGGAACAGATTGTCTGGCGCCACCAAGTGTCTACACCATCACATGCACTTTATGCAACTGTACAAGATTTTTGAGAAACTTGAGATATGTTTATGGTTTACTTAAGTTTCAACTAATTGAATTACCCCCTCTGGCATTTTTACTATATTGTGTGCATTATCTTATATTGTTATTTAAAACAATAACAACACACACACAAGCACAAGGAAAAAAAACAATAGGCATGTTTTGATGAAGCTTTTTGGCAAAGTAGTCTTATTAATATCATACTTGATCAGATCTGCAGTTTACAGTCCATAAAGCACCGTTACCTGGTTCTTCTCCAGATGTTTGGCACGATCATCAGCAGACATGTTTGCAGTCTCATCCAGAAATTTCTTCAAGGCAGAGTCAGTATCTGAACAGAAAAGAACAGCATCAGCATCATTGATTAATAATACATATGCACTAATCATTTGTATTAAGCTGTCTCAAATTACAGCACACACAACTCAATAAATGCTTGAGTATATGCATCACATTTTCTTGCAGGCTGTGGAAAGGAAATTCTGATATTTGTTTCTAAAACATATTCTGCGTGTTGGTAGCATGTGAAAAACTATGCAGAACTGAATTGTGCAGTTAAACCGTCAGTTTTCCACTCACCAAAAGTCAGTTTGCTCTTGTTGTTGGCCACAGTGTGCAGCAGGGCAATGGTGCCACAGGAATTAACTACTGTCTGCTTCAGGAAATAAACTTCAGAGTCTCCAGCCACCTTGTCTGCCTGCTGCTGTCTGAAAGACTCGTGCTGTCATGCACACAGATAAAAAAAAAAAAAAAACACACACAGAGAGAGAGAGAGAGAGAGAGAAAATGTTCATTATCATCTGCCCAAGAGGAAACACAGTTCAGCCAATTCTGCTGCTTAAAATGTGCACATCATGAATGAGGAACAGGACTGGAGAGCACATCTAGGAAAACAATAACATGTTGACAATTACTGGTTTGATTTACTTATGTAGCCAAAACGAAACATCAAGCAGACAATCTAGTAAATATGTGTAGTAAATATGTCTGAGGATTATTTTGTTAATAGAACCTTTGTTTGGTCTATAGAACATCAGAAACCAGTTTAAATGCTCTTCACTATTTCCCAACAGACCAGGGTGACATCATCAAGTGTCTTGTTTCATATGACAGAGTGAGATACGTAATCAATATTTAGGGAATGGCACGGTGGGGCAGTGGTTTGCACTGATGCCACACAGCCATTCTCAGTTTGCATGTTGTCCCTGTGACTGCGTGAGTTAGGTTAATTAGAGACCATATTGTCTTGTGAGTGAGAATGGGTAGGTTGAGCGTGGATGGTTGAAGACTAGAATTTCTAAAATTGTGTATATAATGTGCCTGGAATATTGGTGGTGAGGGTTTGCACTCAAAATGTCACTATTATTTATGTAAATGCAGTCTGCACTGTTTTTATTGTTTATAATTATGATATTCAAAGAATCATTTGAAGATTAGAATGATGCGGTTTGGCTTCATGTGATTCTTTTGCCTGGGGCTCCCAGAAAGTCCCTTTTAAATGCTCTGGACTACACAATAATATATTTCCCTGTACTGCCACATTTGTTTTCACACAGGAAAGTGATCAGTGTGTACTAAAAAAAAAACATACAGAAAACTACAGTAAACCTGAACTTCAATGCATTCAATGAATCCTGGTTCAGCCAGGGTCTGTGTGGAGTTTGCTATGTTCTCCCCATGTAAGCATGGGTTTCCTGTAGGTACTCCGGTGTCCTCCCACAATCCAAAGACATGGAGAATGGAGTTAGGTTAGTTGGAAACTAAATTGAATGTGAGAGTGAATGGTTATTTGCCCAATGGTGGACTGGCGACCTGTCTAGTCCCGCCTCTCGCCAAATATCAGCCTCGATTGGCTGATAATGGAAGGATGGATTATTGATAATTTACATGTTGTGCAGTTATTTTGTGGCAGCTGGCAACTTGATGGATATTTGTGTAAAAGTAACTGTTTTAAATTACCCTCCAAGTTCATAAATCTAATATTTAAATCATTAACAAGAGCATGGATGGATTGATAATGAAAACAATTTTATTTGTATAGCCCATATTCACAAATCGTAGTTTGTCTCATAGGGCTTAACAAAGTGCGACATCCTCTGTTCTTAACCCTCCACAAGAGTGAGGAAGAAAAACCCATTAAAAGGGGAAAAAACCTTAGAAATGTGCAATAGATGCTGTGGATAGGAGCCAATGATGATAGCATAGACTATATATAGTATATTTAATATATATATATATATGTTTTTTGCAGAACAATTGATGATCTGATTCATTCAGGGTTTAATGAATAGGTTTATTTACTTTATTATTAGATTTCACATCTTTAAAAAAAGAAGCCAAGCATCTGCTGAATCACTTCCTCCTCATTGCAGCTCCTGTTCCCTCTCCATGCCCTCCCTGCAGCCCAGTCTCACCCCGCCCAGGACAGCCTGTACCACTGGCTCACCCCACCCTCATCCAGCACCACCACCTCCTCCTCCTCCTCATCATCACCCTCCTCTTCCTCCTCCTCCTCATCATGGTTCCTACCTGTTGTGTCAGTGGGAAGAGCAGCATCAGGGCACAGCATGGTTTGGGGACGGCGGAGAGTTGCTCCCCTTCCAGCCCCAGAACGTCCACGAAGCGCCAGCTCTCACCTGCACCGAGCTTACACATCATCTGAAGCGGAGGAAACAGAGGCTTTCACTGGATGTCAGACATTTTGGGGTTAGCAGCGGCGACATGTGCCTGGGTGTGTTCAGAAGATGCTGCGTTGTGCTGCTGGTCCAGCGGGGCGGACCACACCCTTCTGCCGAGACACAGGGGGCAGAGCTGGGGGAGGATGCTCACTGATTTAAACGCTTCTCCTGCTTGTTTAATATTATTTTCCCACCATTTTAACACACGGGCAGCATCACTTAAAACCACACTGATATCACAGCTGCTGCTGCGTAGCGGGCCGGTAGCGTTTCCCTCCAACTAGCTAGCTAACTGTGAAACTTACCCATCTCTGGAAACTAACGATTACCGGCCGTCGCCATTGTTTTATTACCCACCTTGTTCAGCATCTGAAAGAAACACAGAACAGCAGGTGAGTGCATGAAGACGGAAATAAAAAGTTAAAACATGAATCTACACACACACACACACACACCTCCGGGTTAATCTCCATCGGGGTCCACTCCATGGTTGTAGCCGTGTTTCGGTGTGACTCAGCGGGAGGGAGGTGGGCTCTTCTGTCGGTTGATGGTTCTGACAGTTGAACTTGCACCGTGTTCACTTTATGTGGCCCCGGCTCGTACCATCTCACCGGCAGACGCGGGGGTGGGCTCCGCTCAAATTACCCCCGGTGCACAGATTTAGATTTAGCAGGTGTTGGGGAAGATTAAAAACACAGAGAGGTTTTTCATTCTACACATTTTGCTATATAGTGGGACTACGTCACATGTCACTGTCAACATTTTGTTTGAAGTGTGTTTATTATTTTTCACCATCATTTAAAAATGTAGTACATGGAAGAACTCTATTTATATACATTTACATATATACATATACACACATACATACACATACATGTACACACAGACATATACATATACATATACACACAGACATACACGTACATGTACACACAGACATATACATATACACACAGACATACACGTACATATACACACATACATACATATACACACAGACATACACATACACATACATATACACACAGACATACACA